ACTTTGCTCATACTGATTCTGACACTCGAATGGAGACGTGGCGCAGAGATAGAGGAGAGATCAGAGGCAAAGTTTCTGACAGCGTCTGCCTGAGTGGAGCTGCACACACAGGGATGTTCTGGAAGGATGATCACCGGGTAGTTTTTTGTTTTACTTTGAATTTCAGCTTTCATTCCCGTCACTCACCTTTTTATTAGCGGAGACAGATCGGCATCTCTGTATGTTTGGAGGTTAAATTAAAAAACGGAGAAGAATCAAAGCTGCATTCATGCAAAACGACAGACAGTGAAAAATGGCCCCCCCAAAAAAATAAACGTCTGAAATGTCTGAATTTTATGTTAATCATCTAACATGACGTCACAAAGCATCAAAATTAGCTTTTTAATGCCTATATTTGACAGTTAGAGACTTACTCACACTGTTTTATATATTCACATGTTGCTACCACCACTACAGAACCCTTTTAATTTGATATAACTGCTTGTCAAGGAACAAAACTCACTCCACAGCATATATTAAAGCAAAATGGCAAAGGGAAACAGGTAGTGAAATATCAGATGAAGAGTGGAAAAGAATAAGGCAATATCAATGGAAATGCCCCAGTTCAATGACCTGGCAGGAATTTAACTGGAATAACTTTATAAGGTATTTAATTACCCCATCCCAGAAATCCCCTGTCTGCTGTGGTCACCACCATGTCTTTTGGGATTGCCCAAAAATTCAAGGTTTTTGGTTAGAAATACATAACTCATTACAAGACATTTTGGTAACGCTTTCTTTTACAGTATCAATAACCATGTAATAACATGGTAATAACATAGCAAGTTACACTATATTTAGGGTTTATACAGGAAGGAGGAACTCTAATTTAATGCTTTTTTAATGCTCTTTTAATGCTCTTAGATATAATTTTAATGCCATCAATAAGTACCCATTACTCTCATATATATATATATATATATATATATATATATATATATATATATTAGGGATGGAACGATTTATGAAAACCGTCCGAACGGTTCGGTTCGCGTGTGTTTCGTTCGGTTCATGCTGCTTCTTTTTCTCATAGGCGAAGCGTATGAGATAACAGGAGTTGGAAGACGCGCCAGCAGCACTTTATAGGTCTGCTGTATGGGAGCGCTTTGCATTCAAAGCGACCTACGATGACGGCGGAGAGAAAGTTGTGGATAAAAACAGTGTGCAAGCATTGTGCAACATGTTTTGTTTACGCTAACAGCAACATGACCAACATGTCATGCTAACCCCGAAATCCCTCATACTCCGTCAGCAACCCCCGAACAGTGGATTTTGTGAACCGTTCCACCCCTTATATATATATATATATATAAAAACACGGCAATATCCTTCTTAATCTTTACCATCGATAAGCTGCAGCCATGTCCCGAATTTGTCGTTTTCCAGCCACTTATGTTAAATTTTACATTTTCCCCATTCTCTAGCTTTTCCTGTGCCTCGAGCTTCTGTTCCGAACATACGGCTTTAGGATCAACCAGGAGCAGTTCCACACAAACACGTGGAACCAGTTAAATCTGATGTATTTGACAACATTTTTTTATTTTTATTTTTATGAAGCATTTTAAATGCCATGATAATCACATTGAATGAATTGTAATGCCAATTAAGGCCTTAATTTAAAAAATAATAATTCAATGACTTAATTATTTTTAATGACCCGCAGAAACCCTGATATTACTAGGTAACAAGAAAAACTTTATGGAGAATCTTGCTAAGTACTGTGCATCAAATTTTAGGTGGACAAGTTAAAGTCAGACACCTTTGATTTCAAACCGTTATTACCAGGTAACTCAAATTCATTTTGCAGACGGCAATAAATGAAAGTGTTATCTGTTAAAATGCAGTTTATTACTTGGTATATAACATAAAACCCAATCCTAGAATAAAGCAAGCCAATCTTCTTCAATAACTAACTCTTATTTATATGTAACTTGAGTTCAGTTTTATATTTGTAGGCTGCGGACAATAACAAAAAAATTTTATGTGGTAATCTAATAGTAATTAAAACATTACATAGTCACATACAATTATAATAATTACATGCAGCTTATTATTTTGAAATCATATATCTTAATCTTGGGGTAATTACACCAAAAAACATTTTCGTGTTACCAAGTACTATAGTGCGACTTGCTATGTTATTACCATGTTATTACATGCTTATTGATGTATTGTAAAAGAGAGCGTTATCGGCATTTTCAGAGGATTTGCCGCTGGACTTTAAGACTTTGTATGTGGGATGTGTTTCTCAAGACTGGCTGAAAGTGGACAAATACTTAATGAACATCCTTTTGGTGGCCAGCAAAAAAGCTATCATGAGGAAATGATTACAACCAGAAAGCCCAACAGTTGGTAAATGGAGAGACATTTTGATGGAAATATATAAGATGGAACAAATAACAGCCTTTGTTATAATATATCAATAAGAATTATAAGGTCTATTCCTGTTTGGTTGTACATTAACACCATCCTGGAAAGAAAGAAATGAGCTGGACTGCTGCCACCAACACTTCCAATTATGGATGATAGAGTTCGGCCTGTTTTTAGTGTTTAGCTCTGCTTTACTCCTAAACAAAGCTGTGGGCTCAGATTCTACTGAAACTAGCTGTATGTGCTCTCTTTCATCCTTTGCCATGGAATCTGTCTCAGAGCTTGTTTGCTTAACAGTTCCTTCCCTAGAGAGAGTCACCTGTGGAGCTAGTTTACCGTTACCTGTTTTTTAAAAATGGACAGTATTCATACAGTGCTTCTATGTTCCTTTTCTATTCCCGCTTCTGTCTCCTTAAACCCAGTTGCCCTCAGCAAAAGGCCCCTCAAACTAAGCCTGGTCCTGCTGGAGATTTCTTCCTGTTATAAGGTTTTTCCTCTCCACTGCATGCAGGCTCAGTGTGAGGGATTGCTATAGTGTCCATTGCACAATGGAAGCGAACAGCTACTGTCCCAACATGTTCATCCATCAGGAGCGCGCCCTGCAAGTCCATGACTAGATGCAATAAGCTGGTTTTCCTTAGGTGGAAATTTAACTGTATGTCTTTTGAGCACTTTGTCTCTATAAAGTTGCTGAAGATGAGATTTTCCTAATAGGCGCTATAAAGAAAAAAACTGAACTGAACTGTAAAGTGGCTCAGAAAGAAGGAGTCGACCTGTAACCTGTGGGCTGCAGTCTGACCTTATGCGCCCTGACTGTCACTGGCCAAAGAGCCGGATGACAGCGCTGCAAGGCAGCCTTGCTCCTGTCAGACCTCGCTCCTGTAGTTAACAATCATCTGCATGTAAATATTTGTGAAGAAATTAATTACTAAAATAGTAAAATGCGCTTTGGGATTAAGTAATTGCCATTAAACCAGTCAAAAATCACTATAAGGCACTTTGGAGTAGAGGCAGACTGAAGAATCGACCTGTTGATATTTTGGGACAATATTGGTGTTTTTTTCTTGCATCTCTGTTGGCAGATACATGCATGCCTTTAATGCATTCAGCACGGTGAGAATTTTGTTCCATTATCGCTGTAAGCATAGAACATGTTTTGTAATTGGAAGTTAGAAAAAAAAAAAAAAAAAGACTTTGCTGTTTCCTCAGATTTTATTTTTTCAAATTATTTGTGATGTGGAAAAAAAGGTTTAATTTTTTTTCATATTTAACATACAACATTACTTTTTTGAGCGAAAGGTCTGAAGTAAAGAGGATGGGATCTGGAAAACAACTTGAACAAAAATTAAAATCATAAAACAGAGACCGAAAGAGCCATTTTAAAAATAAACTTTAAAGAAAATAAAATATATATTAAATATATATATATTTTTTATTAAATATGAGAAAATAGCAAAATTCAATTCAATAGATTCCATTGCTTTCCAATTTCTGTTTCAAAAACATGTTTTTACTCTTAATTTTCATTTACAAATTATCTTTCCTTTCAACGTTGGAACAAAACTCAGACCATAAATCTGCTTCATAATGTAGCGCCACAAATAACGATCACATGAAGTCTGTGCATTTCTGCTCTCTCCACTTCCACTCTATTGTTTATTTTTTGTCTATTTGTTTAATTCGAGCCTTGTGTAACATTTCTATCATGTTCTTTTTTTATTATATGTATTTACATATATATATAAACATAAATATACATATATACAAGAAAAAGTAAGACCGGCTTCTAGTATAAGCCCACCAAAATATCTGCAGCAGATATTAGAAAACTGGTTAGACTGAAGGTGAAATAACTGGTATCTGCATCAGCTTTAATAAACTCATAGCTGTCAATCTGCAGTTTGAAGGTTGTGAAAAGTTGCACGGTGAAACAATGTGGAAATGTGTCAGAGGGTTCAGATACTGCCCCTGAATATCAACTGTTACATTAATCTCTGTCGGGGAAAAATATTGCAACTAAAATCAAATGAAATAAAGTGCATATATGTGCAAATACTTTATCCAATACTCTGAGGAATAGTTCTAACTGTGCTTCTATTGTTTCTACTTAAATATCCCCCTAACCTCCTACTTTTTATGTCCCATCATCAATAAAGAGCTAATTATAAAATATACATATATATTTAAAAAGCAAACAAGTAGGACACCATAACTGAATACCATTTGAAGTTTCTGACAAAATAAAAAGAAAACTAAAATAGTTCAGTCCCAGAACGCCTTCGTATGTCACTGAAACGTCTTAATGAAGGCCCTTTTTAATCAATTTCTGATTCATATTATTTTAAGAATAGAAAAGCAATTCAACGTCTGTTTAGTTTTAGAACTTTAAGGCCTTTATTGTTTGACATCATGTCAGGTTTTATGTCTGAGTTATGAATAAAGGATGATTTAAAAAGTGCTGCTCTGCCTGTGGATTTGTAGACTAAAGAGGTGAATTCCACAGAGGTTGGAGTTTGTGCCTCCTTTAATGTGCTATACGTAGCAGTATGTGTGTCAGCGGTTAGTGCGTATGAACGGCTGCTGGGCATTACCTGACAGACGTCGGAACGGATGCCGGTTTTCCAGAACCCTTGGCTGCTGAGCTCCACCGTCACCTCACGGCGCATTGTGTTCTTCTGCCGGATCTTCTGAAGAGCTTCCTGCCAAACAACCAGGCCAGTCAATTATTGATCGGCTGGAACGCAGCCTCCAGGGACGACTCCCCATCCACAGAAACCCACTTCTGTCACCTTAGAGCATTCCCTTTTTTCACCCCAGTTTCCCTGACAGACAGACAGGCACATGCAACATACTGCAACCTCACATGGTAGACATGCATAAATGACAGAATGGCTGACGCTGAGGTTTTATTTTATGAGGCAACATATCTACCTTCACTTTCGGATGGTTTCTACATGAGCACAAACAAGCTGTGATAAAGTCCAAATTGCTAGAGATTAAGCTGAGTGGGTAAAATTCTAGCTTGACCAGGAACTGTTGCAAACCATGATGCCTATTGACTTTAATAAAAAAAAAAAAGGATAAACGTGTTTTTCTTTATCTTAACTGTTAATATGAAGCTAGTAACAGATTGAGAGAATGGCCGTTTATCAGTTCACAAGAAAGCGAGTGCGGATTAGTGTCCTCGCCAAGTATGTTCTTGAGAAGAACACAGGAAAATATGGACTCGAGGAGAACAGGAGCACGCAGCATAAATATGGGTCAATTGGAAGAGAAGCGTACTTGTGACATCACCACGCCCTGCTCGTCTGGAGCTGCATTTCACCTCCTGTTATTAATAGTCTCTAGCAGTGGCGGCAGGCCAATACAGGGCGCTAGGGCGCCGACGCCCCTACCCAATGACCCTGATTAAGACATAAAATAATACTATGTATATTTTTTATGGTTTAATTTTAAACTAAAATGTAAATTATTTCGAAATATATCCATACAATTTTTTAGATGTGCAAGATAAATATTTAATCTTTCATGACTAGTAACGCGTCATTCCATTTTTAGTCCGACTGGTGACGTATTTCCTTCCTGGGGCGCAGACTCTTTGCCCATTGACTCTCTTTAAAAGATGTACATGTGCAGTAGCTCCTCTGCAATATAAAGGTATAGCAGAGCTCAGGGCGCAGGAGAGCGGCTCCCCGAGTTGACAGGAAGTGTATTTGCTCACCACCCCCTGCCACAGCGCAGACGTTTTGCAGGTGATTGACAGGTGTGCAGTTCTTGTGAAATGGAACACTACTAGGTCTGAGGCTGATGACGTTCCACAAGTACACAAGCACATGAGAACGCACAAGTCCACATATTGAGAAATGGCCATCTTTCCAGCATCGATTAGAGTTATAAAAACAATGGGCTAAAAAAAACAAAAGTAGTTATGCTTGTCCACTCATTCCACCATAAAATTCACATTGGAGTCAAAATGTTATTCGATATATGTGCTGCACAGAACACTGACGATTTATCTAATGGTACAAGACCTGAACTAATGCTGACAAAGAGACACTTATAGTGACAAACTTGAGAAAAATGTTAACCTCTCAATACCAATACCTTAATTCCACCTCATTTTGGGAAATTTTGCCGATTTTGCATACCCAAATGGAAACTCAAATAACTTATAAAACCATACATTATTTGAAAGCGAACACTTTCTAGTTTCTTAATATATACATGAAAACTGGGCGAGTAAAACCCAGCCCAGGCTGCATCAGTTCAAAGAAGACTACGTTTTTTTTTTCTTTATTCTTGAAAATAATAGGTGTTTTATCTGTGGGATAAAACTGTGAGTGAGATTATCTGTGGTAGTAGCACTAGACATTTTCCAGGCATGTGAGTAAAACTTGCTGCAGTGCAGCAGACAGGATGAATGAACGGTAGCCGGCGCGGATGACGTCATACACACTCCGCTTTGTTTAAAAAAAAATAAAATATATATATATATATATAAATATAAAAGAATATAACCACGGATGTCTGTAGGACAGTGATTCGCCTACATGTTATGTCTAAACGCTTTAAACTGGTGGGTTTTGAGAGGTTGAGGGTTAGAGGACCCACAGGATCATGGTTCCATAGCCGTACTTCAAGCTAAGAATGAAGTTCTTTAGTTGTTCACTTCTTTAACAGCACTCCTACCTGAATTTTTGAGAGGATAAACAACAACAGCTGACACCAATGGTAACAGGCTAAAGCAACATGCTAACATTGTAAAAGTAGCATTAGCAAGCAAGCAAAATATTGTGATAAAAAGTGTAACATTAGCAAAACAAACGCAAAATATTGATATATTACAAAAAAATTTCTAAATATGAACACATTTAACAAACTTTAGTAGCCTAATGCTAAATTCTGACATGCTAACACTCACACGAATAAGCTAATGGGCTAGCAATTATGTATTTTCATAGACATTAGCTGGCTAATGTACCAATAACTTTAAAGGGCCATTAAAAATTTATGAGATAATACCACCATGTAGGGCTGGGCGATATAGAAAAAAAGCTTATCGATAAAAAAAAATGCATATTGATCGACATCGATATTTATTGAAAAGATTTGAAACCATATTTTATGTGCAGCTCTGCCTGGACTTTTTATGATATTGCTAAATTATTTAATTTTAATAAAGAACACAAACACAGACTTCCAATTAAATCTTTATTTTAACCATAACAGAATGTTATGTTATTAAATACTGACAAAGAATAAACTAAAGTGACCAGAAAAGTGACCAAAATAAATATAACATTATTCTATTCTATTATTACTAGCATTTTTCTCTCAATTGTTAGAACTACGTGGGAAACTGCCCAGAACTTTATATATATATTTTCCCGAAATTCCCGAAGATTCCTCGGAGGAGAGCCGCACCGGGGCCTACACAGCTCGTACTCCTGCGGGTGTGAGCGGCCAAGATGATAAAAAAAAAAAAAAAAAGTTGGTTGTGTTATCAGACTTTGTTTTCACTGGTTCCCTACACATTTTACAGATGACTGTAGTTTGTTTTTTGTCCGACTTGCCATAACCGAAATACTGCCAGACTGGCGAACTACAAAAACCCTTCTTTGGAACAATTTTCTCCGCCTCTCCTTGCTGCAACATCTTCATGTGCTCTGTGTTATGGTTTGAGAGGGCGGCGCTTTGTGACGGCGTGCCTGCGATTGTGATTGGTTGGGAGGAAGTAGTGACTAGCATAAACCTACATGCTAGGCTACACTGAGAAGGAAGGAAAACTGCGTTTCTTTATCGAACTTTTATCGACACTGTTTTTTTCTATTGCGCCACACGTCTATCGATCGATATATATCGTTATTGAATTATCGCCCAGCCCTACCACCATGACAAGTTATTAATTAATTAAATTATCTGAAGTTAATTCATTTTATCAATCGACTAATTGATAAGCAGCAATTTTCTAAACAATCTGAATTTTCTGTTGTATCAAGAGGATATTTGTTGAACAAAAAACAAAAATCATCAGCATTATTTTAATTTCTTTTATCAGCTGTATAAAATACTGACTGAAAAAGCAAAACCCTTTTTTCTTTTTTTTCTTTTTACACATTATTAAACGCATTTCTAAGATATAACAATAACATTATTATAAGATATATTATAACAGGAACTTCTAAGGTTGCTAATTAAAAGAAAGATTATTATAATGTGTGAAATAACTTCCTATAAACAGAAATGTAAAATGATCATTAAAAGACGGGGTACGACGCTTCGGCATGCTGTCAGATTAGTTGCCACTTCACGTCAATGAAGTACACGGCTTCTTTGATATAGTTCCAACAGTCAGTGCCCCCCATGTTTTTTTTTTTCCTTCTTCCTCCATTTCATCTAAAACTCAAACAGGATCCTATAAATATTGCTGGAAAAAGATCCATCTCTGCATCGGAAGACCCAGCATGTAACAGGGGGTCGTGGAAGTAACATAGCCAAGGTAGAGGACGTATCAACAGACCTCTACTTTCTTAATGTTTGTGCTCACGCACGTGTTTCATTCAGCAGAGACACCATCGGCTCGCCCACAGTTATCAGTGATCTGCCTAAAATGGAATGCCAGGAATTTTTGACTCACAGAGGAAATAAGAACAACAAAGGCATGAATAAATAATGCCTTCTCACTTTGAACTGTGCATCAAAAGAAACGGGCTCGCCCACACGCAGCAGCACAGGCACGCGCAACCGCACACGGCAAACCCTCCTGTGGACAGCCAACCAGCCATCCACTGTATATGGAAAGCAGTCATCGCAGAAAAGCGTGAATGGTATGCAAACGCGTTATTTACTATGCAGGGTCTTTAGCAGGGTCAGAGAACTGAGGGAAACAAGAAAAAGAAATAATCAACTAGGGAGTCAGAGGCTGCTCCGTACGGCGGTCAAAGTCACGGCACATTTGACTTTTACCGTCAAGTACCTCTGCTGAAAGGTCCATTTATATTTAGGTCAAAAACCAAACACACCCCATGAAAATCAATGTCTGACAAAAGGCAACGAACATCTGTTGCATGTGCTGCTACACTTCTGTTCCAACAGGTTGATTTAAGGAAACTCGTCTCGTTCAGTAAAAATCGAGAGCGATCCAAAGCTCCAAAATATTCCTGCGTCACCAGATTTTCCAATTCACAGACTTAAATCTATTAGGGGAAAAATGTCCTGTTTATGCATTAAAGGAATAGTACACCCAAAACATGATTAGCCTTCATTTTCTACTCACCCCCATGCTGAACAACACTCTGGAGTACTTTTTTGATATCTCAAATGCATCTGGAGATCTGGGAGGCTTCTTGCTGTCTGCTGACATTCAAATAATGGAGGTCTATGGTGCCCGAGACAGAAAGGTCCATAAAAGTCCACAAAAACGTTTCAATATTCCTCCATACTGCTCCTCCAATGTATTCCAAGTGTCCTGAGTGGGTAGCATCCAGAATTTACTCGAAACGAAGTCATTTAGAATGTTTTTAGAGCATAAACAGTAGTGTATAGGATTTCCTGAAAGCACGCACCTGCGCGTGCACGACGCTACGGAAGCCGGCAGACCAAACCAGCGCATTCAGCTCGGCAAAGAACTCATGCTCTTCCTCAACACTGAAGTCCTCAGACATTTTTCTTTCGTTGTTTCTTTCTTTGCACAGGTAAA